TTAAAATTCTAAATAAATTAATAACCTTATAAATCAGTCCCTTATAATTAAAAGCAAAATTTTTCTAACACAACCTTTCAAGTAGTTATAAGCGACTTTATAGGGAACAGTTTGGCACAACTGTTGCTGCTGAATTTGCTTTAGTCTGCATACTGGTTGAGCGATAATCTTAAAATAAGTGTGAATAAAAGAAATGCTTCCAACCTGGCGTAGAGTAACCAATATTTAAGCTAGCCTTTTCTTTTAACTGTTGTTAAAAGTTCCAGTCTGGCTCTAAAAATTTTATTATGGTTGAAAATCACTTACTACATGAAAAACGGAGATTTTTTTTTTTGAAGCGGATGATAATAATTTTATTTGTGTAACGTTTATATTGAGTGACACTTGATCTGCAATGTCCCGCGACTACTAGTATATTTCAAATTTCGGACGCTGATCATTCAAATTCTGTCCAATAAAACTCCTAATAATCAATTTATGTCACACAAGAAATAGTGCGTAAATTTTGAAATTGAATAAAGATATTTTACATCAATATTAATTAAATCATTATTAATTGTTATATAAAAGTTCAATTAATAAAACAAGATAAAATGCCTCTATCTTCAAAAGGAAAATGAAAAAGTAAAAATCAAGTAAGAAATGCAGAAGGTAAGTATGAATCAAAAAAGGCACACCAAGATGATAACATCATTATGAATGATTACAGTCATGAATTTTTTGGTATGGTTGAGCATGGTGAAGTAAATTATGATAATGATGAATTAAAAAACATTGACGCTGGTGACAGTGAATTGGATGCTGGTAGTGAAAGTGGTTGGGATGATGTAGATGATATGGAGGAGGAAATTAAAATAAATCAAAAGCTCAAAGAATTAAAATTGGAGTGGAAGGGAAATGTTCAGCTGGAGAAAACTAAAAGAGGACCATACATGAAAGGTAAGACACCAAAATCCACTTATTACAATAAATATGGACCAAGTGGCTCATTTACCAAAGCAGCTGCTGGAAATGAAAAAATTACAAGTCTTTTTAAAGTTCAAACTAAGGATCCAGAGCAATTCAGGCACAACACAGCAGAAGAAGCTTTAAGTGATTCAGAAGAGGAAAAAATTAATTTTAACAATTATTTAATTAAAGAAAAAATAACAGAGTTGAAAGAGCAATTAGAAAAAAAGCATAAAGAAATGAATGTAATTGAATATAATCAAAAGAGAGCCATTTATGAATATCTTGTATTATTAGATTATAAAGGATGTGGAAGAATTGATGCTAGTTTGCAGATAGCTAAAAAAGTTTTTATAGGTGCTGGTCCATGGAAAGCACGAAAGATTAGATATGCTGCAATTTATTGGTTGCTTAACAATAAACTTCCAATGTCTAGACATGGTAAACATCAAAAAACAGTTAGATTAATTGATGATAAAGATGTTGCAGGAAAATGTCAAGTTTGGATTCATGAACAAAATTATCATGCAATGCCATCTTCTTTTAAAACTTTTATTGAACAAAATTTGTTGCCCAACATTGGAATTGCAAAAAAAAAAAGATATTTCTTTAAGTACTGCAAAAAGATGGTTAAACATTCTTGGTTACACTTTTAAACTACATCATCAAGGAATGTATTATGATGGACATGAAAGGGAAGATGTTCTGCAATATAGAAGAGTGTTCTTAGAAAAAATGTTTGATCATGAGTAGTATATGTCCAAATATGAAGGTGAAACAATATAGAATAATCCCTAACTTACCTGAAGGAGAAAAAGAAAAAATTATTGTAGTTCATGATGAGAGTGTTTTCTATTCTAATGATGGTAAATGTGGAGTGTGGACCAAAAATGGAGAGATGCCACTGAGAAAAAAGGGAAATGGCAGATCAATTATGGTTAGTGAATTTTTAACAGAAGTCAATGGACACCTTCGTTTGCAACAAGCTGACCTGAAGAAGTGTGATGTTATTTAAAGCCTGGCATAAATCAAGATGGTTATTGGACAGCAGAATATCTCTTGAGCAAATTGAATATAAAGCAATTCCTATTTTTGAGGCATTATATCCAGATTGCATGGCCATATTTGCTTTTGATAATAGTTTTAACCATGCTGCATTCAGAGATGATGCTTTGGTTGCAAAACAAATGAATCTAAAACCAGGTGGCAAGCAACCTGTTATGCGTGATACTTACTTTGGACAAAATAGACAGCCACAATCAATGGTTTTTCCATCCACACATCCTGATGAGAAACTTAGAAACAAACCTAAAGGCATAAAACAAGTGTTAATAGAAAGAGGAAAATGGTCATCTCAAGGATTAATATTAGAATGCAAGGAATGTAAAGAAAATATTAAAGATGATTCAAGAAAATCTTGTTGTGCATGCCATGTATTATCATTGGAACCAGATTTTTTAACACAAAAAGGAGCAATTGAAGAGCTGATTGAGAATGCTGGACATAAATGCATCTTTTTTCCAAAATTTCACTGTGAGCTAAACTTTATTGAAAGATATTGGGGTGCTGCTAAATGATATCTGAGAGAAAATTGTGATTATTCATGGGAGGGTTTAAAAAAAACAGTACCTGAAAGCCTTGAGTCAGTACCTTTAATTACAATTAGTAAATTCTCAAGAAAGCGTTGGCATTATATGGATTTATATAGAAAAGGAATCGGTGGTAAATTAGCAGAGTATGCTGTCAAAAAATATAGATCTCATAGAAGAATACCAGATGGAGTAATGGAAGAATTAAATAGAATTAATATAGAATAATTTTTAAAAAATTAACCAATAAAAATTCATTGATAGTTATCTGAAATTTCGGAATGATCTACATTTTTGATGAGTATAGATGACCTGCACCATAACAATAATAATTTATTCTTCTAATAAAAATTTTACATAATTTTTCACCAAATTATACTAATTATACTTAATGATTATTACTATAGGATAAAATACACAATTATTGCTGATTACAATTAGGGTCTTCCTTTATTATTATAATAAGAACTAGCAAACTATGCTTCGCGTCACAAACTATATGTCTTGTGTCACGAATTATGCTTTGAATCACGAATTATTATTATGCCCTGCGTCATGAATTATTGCTTCAGAAGACCCTAGATTTCATATGATTATTATTTGGGGCGTTGATTAAATGCCAAGGTTTTCTTTATTTACCATTCAACAAAAATTTATTAATTATAATTTGTTGTACTAATTATAATAAAAAAACATATGTTAAATTAAAAATAGCAAACATACAGTATATTTTACATTTAATTGTTCATTTTCTTTTATAGTTATCCAGTGAGTTTAGCTATTGCAGAAGGAATGTTATTGTTGACTGTTTGGGTCATGTGAGTTTATAGTTAATGTAAAAAATTACATGATGATATATAGATTGATTATTTTGTGCGGGGGATAGGAATCAGATCAACATTATGAGGTGGGTGCGAGCTAGCTTAGTCTAATGCCTATATTAATAAAACCGTATCATGATTAATATATTCCTCAAAATTAATAACAAAGGTTTTACCTGACGTGACATTTTTGATATTAAGGAATTTCTGCACGTTCGAAATGAAAATAGTGAGATACCCGCATCTTTTACTAGAACATTTTCACTTCATTATGGAATCAACACCAGAAGTACCTGTAGTATTAGAAACGTGCTGATTCCTTAGAATCATTTCTAAACTTAGATAATCCCTTTGTTCAGTATACACAGCCTTTTCTGCAAACCCAAATTACCCCTGATAATTATACATATATACTTATGCAACAACATGCTCAACTAGAATGACGCCAGGACAGTGACCGGCATGCCAAACAGCACCCATAAAACGACTATCAAGAATCGTCCTCGTCACTGGGCATTCAGATAGTGCACGCACACCTCTGTCATCTAAACTTGCATCAACAAAGAAGTCACCTCCAGTCGAAGGGACAAGGCGATGTCTCAACAAGGTGAATATGTTGCCTTGTGGAAGACGCACAAAAATCCGGCATATGTCATAGCATACCCATGGGCAAAGGAAGACCTTGCTTGAATTTTTGGCATTACATTGCATCAACGCTGATGCATGTTCTTCCACACAGTTAAAAAAAGTTGCTCTAAAAAGTTAATACATTTAATTAACCATGCTTTATTAGTCTCACAAAAACAATATTTGCATTATTTTAACCATAGATTATTCTCTCACCTCCTTATTCTCTGTTTTTGTGATGCTAAATTTTGGTTTTCGTGTCGATTTTTTTTTGCCAGATTCCTACAATCTCCCAATTGTTTCTCTGATATTCCAGTTTGTTTGTTTTTCAAGATCCTGTAGTTGTTTCATTTACATTAGGCAACTAGAATTTTTTGATGTTGAATTTTCTACCTGTTTTTTTTTTCAATATGGCCGCGTAACAATTCTTTCTGATCGTACACCGCCAGATCTTACAAGAATATTTCATAATTAATATATCATAAAAAAGTGGAATAAGATAATAATCTTTAAATCTAATTAATTATATATTTTGGTTGATAAAAAAACAAACTTAGCTTTTTTGTTGTTATTTAATCCTTTCCTTCTGTGAATACCTGCATCCATTAAATATTCATGATAATTATTCAATACATTTGATGTTGTTGATATAACAAACAATTGCATCACTCAAGTAGTAATAATACCAAGGCCATGCAAAAAATTTTTTAATAATGCATGTCTACCAGTAGTTCACAAGAATAAATAAATAGGGAGGGTTTCCTTCCCAATAATAAATCTGATATTGATCACAGGTGTCAGATTTAATTAAAATTTCCTTACCACAAACAATGGTACCGCCTCCATCCTTGCATAAAATTTTTACTACAAGTGAAGGCTCCCCAATTGTTTGAAGGTTTTTTCATAAGGTCAACAAAAACTTTCCCTTATTTTCCCCTCGGACCAGGCTTGATTGTTGCCGTATGGGCATTGATCACTGGTGAAGATCCGCATTTGTGTGATGTTTGCTTTGTGTTATACCCCTCTAGAATAAAGTCAGTGTCTGCAACGGGTTGCTGTTTTGGATTTTCCCAGAATTTAGGCACACCAACGTTGGTCAAATGAAAATTAAAGAGCCTTCTCTGGTTTGGGGAGGATTAGTGAAAATATCGTTGACTATTGGTCGATGAACGGACTCTGTTTGCATCGTTCTATCTCTTTGAGAGTATCTCGGTCAGATTAGCCTTGTGTAAATGAGGAACGTGAGAATGACTAGTGTCCAAGACAGTGTGCATGCTTTAACGCCTGGGGTAAGATATATCGGGAGTAAGATATGTCAAGGTTAAGGTATGATCCTAAGCTCATACCTTAACCCTCACATATCTTACCCCGACATATCTGGTAATCAAACCTTGTCCTTGTATCTTAATCCTGACATATCACCCCCGACATATGTGGTAATCAAACCTTGTCCTTGTATACTCGAAATGTTTCTTTTTCAACGGTGTGCTGCCTTGACATGTAAATATATGTTTATAATAATATTAATATTATTACTGATTACGAAAAGCAAATATCAATTATTTACCATCTTGATGAGGATCTTATAATTACCTAGAAAAGATCTGCTCCGCGTTTTGATTTCAATTAAAATACTTGTATAAGTAAAAGATATATCAATGCAAATTAAAAAAAAATACTTCTAGCCAGTTATTAACACGTCTTCAGGCAGGTACCAAACAACATCATGTCATTGTTAAAAAAAAATTGTTTTACCAAAACCCCCCCCCCCCAATCCCAATAATGGCGTTTGTCGATCAAACTTCTTAATTGGTGGTCCGCCAATCAACGATAGAAATTTGTTATGCAGATTCGGGATATCAAACTTATTATTACTAGTTAACAGATTCTCAAGATAGACAAGAATTTAAATAGGAAAAATAGTAAGTTACGCGATGATTTTCTTTTAATGTAATATGTTCGTTAAACTTTTTTGTTGTAAAGAACTTTTATTTATTAATAAAAAAAAGGAAATAAATAAGTCAAATAAATCAAATGTATGTTGTAGAAAATATTCTATGAAAAAAAAGCTGTTACACGAAATTTACTTAGTCTCAATTTCTTAAGTGTATAACAAAATTCGGAATTTTCAAAATGCTAAGGCTCTGCCAATTTTCAGTTTAAAAAAAAACCAGCCGATAAGTTTTGAAGCTTGAGTCATGGACAATAAAACTTATCGGTTAATTTTTTTTTGTTTTAGTATTTTGAAGTTGACCAATTGTTACTATAAGCAATTAATGATTATAGATGATCTGCATGGGTTTCTGTAAACCACTCCCTATTTAAATTTACATTGTTTATAATTTCTTTAAATATCTCAAAATTTTATTAAGTAAAGTGGGTATGGTTTCTAAGCTAAAATTAATCCTTGCAGTGAATTCAATATAGGGGTGCCATTCGTCCTCAGGGACGTTGGTCGCGTTTCTATTGTCCATACCCCATACAATAAGATATAAATAAAATACAAATTATTTGTTATCAGTCGATAATCATTTGTGAATTGTTACCAACAAATGTTTGAAATGGTTACGAATCCTATAAAAAATTTAGTCAGAAAATGTATGGTTTTTCCATACATTTTCCGCATATTCTGTATGGAATGTGTACAGAATTATACATTAAAAGATTACTTTTCCGTACATATTTGCCCTGAAAATGCACTGAAAATGTATGGAAAATGTACAGAATGCATTTTCAGGACATTTTTAGGACAAATATGTGCCATTTTCATGTATAATTCCGTACATATTCCATACAAAATGCATGGAACATGTATATCGAATATTCAAAATAATTGCAAGTATTCAAAATAGTTACGAGTATCCAAAATAGTTACGAATATCAAAAATAGTTACTAGCACCAAATAATTACGAATATGCAAAAATAAATACAAGTATCCAAAATAGTTATGAATATCCTAAATAGTTACGAGTATCCAAAATATCCAAAATAAACGAGTATTCAAAATAAAAACAAGCATCCAAAATAGTTACAAATATCCAAAATAATTAAGATTTTCCAAATAATTACGGAGTATTCAAAATAAACACAAGTATTTAAAATGAATATCCAAAGTATCCAAAATATCCAAAATAGTTATGAATATCCAAATAATTACAAGTATCCAAAGTATTCAAAATAGTTACGAATATTCAAAATAATTGCGAAATAAATTACATATCCTTGAATAAATTGGTTTTCGAGTATTCGTAAAAAATTTGATTTCAGTCAAGTACACTATTGTAAAGAACATTTACTTGCTATTTTATTGGGAAAGTGTGCCTTCAGAACTGACAGCGCTTCTTCTAATTGTCTAAAAATAAATAATACTATTTTTGATTTTAATTTAAATCAAAAACCCGTTGGAGAAATTTGTTTTTCTTGCCTAACAAATAATTGAAAAGCACCATTCCCATATATTGATCATTCTAGAAAAAAAAAAAATAATACTTTTTCAGTATATTGTATTCCCTTGGTATTATTTTACAAAGTGATTGTATATAGCCCTTTTTACCCCAATGAATCAAAATTCGCTTGTTGTATAATAATAATAGTCATACAATATGTCCAATACAATAGCAAGTAAATTTGCATAAAGTCCAATTTAATTTTGAGTTACGTTGTCGACAAGATAATATAGAATTATTTTCTTTTTGGGAAAGTGTGCCTTCAGAATTGACGACACTTCTTCCACTTTTTGATTTTTAATCAATGTAAATTAATTAAATTTTTCTATAAACCTACCCGTTTTTTTTTCTTGTTTTATTCAGACACTTTTTTTGTTACTGAGAAATAATTAAAAAGCACCAAACATTCTCATATTGATCATTTTCAGGAAAACTTTTTTATTTTTTTTTAGTATATTGTTCCCTTAACAAAAACACTAAAATGCATAATGATTGTACAGCCTTTTTTATCCCAATAAATAAAATAATTTTTGTTTACTCCAGAAAAGAAAATAGTTTTCCAATTCCGGAGTTATTAATATATTAATATACTAATTGATTGGTCGAATCACAAATACATTGCCTATAAATACCAATAAAATAAGTCTATGAGAGAACTTTATCCATTATTTGATATGAACAAAGGATTTCTACTCAACCAAAGCAAGAAAGTAAAATCAAGTTTATTGACTTTATTTTCATTCATTACACTTGTAACCGCGTCAATTGTTGACGAAAATTATGAACCTGAACAGGACGTGTACGATGCAATTATCAACACGCTCTTTCCAGTATTTTTGGTCGTCCTGTTCATTGTGAAAGGGGAATCTGGGCACATCAAGAATGTGCTGCTGCCATTACTAGATGACTTGTTATACAACACAGTCACTTGGGTGATTCCGCTGGTGGTTTCTTTTGCTTATGATGATTTGAAGAGTATAAAGATATTTTCAATCGTAAACATGGGTTTATATGTAACTTGCGCAGTATACACAATAATTAGGAACAAAACAATCAAAAATACACCTGGTTCTTTTACACCTATCTTTTTTTTCTTGGTGCTTTTCCCAGCTATAGTAATCACAACATTCTGGATTGTTCTTATGATAAATGGAGGTCTTTTGGATCCAATTGGCTTATTATTCCTTGCATTATTTGGGATGTTGTTAGTTACAGAATTTTTTTATTTTATATTATTTGGTTTTGAGTTCTGTTTTGGTATCGGCCAAGTATTTAAATCAAAGTTCGGTCATATATTTTTTCCTGTATGGTTTTATCTCCCGAGTGTCCTGCAAACATTATTTATTGTGTTGAAATGGCCAATCGATTTTTACTTTGTCAAGACATGCATATTTATACTGGTTCTTTCTTTAGCAAGGAATTTGTACATCTTTATAGATAAGGAGCCAGCATCTGATGATTTTCTGGCTACTTCAACAACATTCACTCAATTTAGACTACGCAAAACAATAAATGAAATAGTAAAGGAGAATGAAAGTCAAGAGGTGAATGAAACTCAAAAGGAAATAATCAAGGCAGTGGACAAATCAATTGCCGAAATGAAAGAATCAATAATGGCTGAAGTGAACAAATCAATGGCTGAAATGAAAGAATCAATAAAATTGAAAAATCAAGATATATTGGATGAAGTTGTGTGTGAAAAAGGTAGCAAATAAATAATAATGGTAATTTAACATTAGTTTTCATTTAGAAATGACTATTGTTCTGGGTGACTTCGTCACTAACAGTATATACATGTATTTATTTATTATATGTGTGTGTGTGTATATATATATATATAACAAATTTACAAATAAAAATTTATGATATTGTTATTTAATAAAAATCTAGCCTAACCATATTCCTGATACAAATATTAATATATTAATATCTATATCCGATATTCGTAATAAAAAAGATCCAATTTTCATAAAATTCTCATAATATTTTATTTTGTAATCGCGTTATTTAAGGAGAAATTGAAGGATTCGTTAATAGTGTGGTTCCATATTAATATTGCACGATTTTTTTTTTCTTTATTCTATAAAATCAAAGAAATAAATTACAGTTATTCACTAATTTCATTAATTTCATATTTTATTATTTTATTTTTTAAAACTAACTGATCAAATAATGCAACTCAAAACTTTAGATTGGACTTTGCTCATTTGTAAAGAACAATTTACTTATTATTTGCTAAGAAATAAATAAATTCAATTATTGATAATTAATTAAATTTTTTTTACAAACCTACCCGTTTCTTTTCTTGTTACTGTTTCCATCCGAGGAATAATTAAAAAGCACAAACCATTCTTATATTGATCATTCTTTCAATTTCCTGGAAAAAAATTTATTTTCTCTTTTATTTTCAATATTGATATTATTTTACAAAAACGACAAAGTGAATGCTTCAGAGTTATCACAAAACCCTCTCTCTCTTTCATCAAAAAAATAAATTTTATTTCATAAATTAATTAATTAAAGAAAAGGAAAAAAGCTGGTGAAAAAAAAAACAAAGTGAAAAAATCATGTCTCACTCATTCTTCCATCTTAATTTTCATTATTTCTTGCATTCTAGTGTTAAAAGATTTTGTTAATTCTATTTTACAACCACCAAAAGATACACCTTTTATATACAGCAAAGTTGAATTAATTATTTGTTTATTAAATATTTTTACTTTTCATAATAATAATAATGAATATATATATTGGGGTTTGTAATAGGAAAATCAAGCTTCCAGACAAAAAATCTATTTTTAGTAACAACCCTTATAAATTTGGTTACACATATGTTTTAATATATGGTGCAAGTCACCTAGTCCCGCAACTTGCTGCGCCTCGTGGCCAATTTTGGGAAAAATCTTCAAAACTCAG